GGCTGGGGTCGGAGTCGGAGTCGGCTTGGAGTCGAATCAAGCTCGCAACGGGCTCGGGTTGTGCTGGGATCAGGCTCCGGCCGGGCACGGGCGAGACTGGGACAGGGCTCGGATCAGGCTGGCATCGTGCTCGGATCGAATTAGAATCGAGCCCTGGTCGCGCTGGGATCATGCTCGGATCAGGCACGAGACAGACCTGGATCAGTTCAGGAATGGTATCGGATCGAGCTCGTGATGCATTCAAATCATGCTCCAGTCGTGTCTGAATTAGGCTCGGATCGTAACGGATCGGGGTCGGGTCGGATTTACACCCGAAGCTGGTCGTGTACAGATTGATCTCGGCTCGATCACGGGTTAGACCGGATCAGGCTCCGGTTGGACTTGGAACTGGCTCCGATCGAGCTTGCTTTGGGCTCGGATCAGGCTGGCATCGAGGTCAGATCGAATTAGAATCGAGCCCTGGTCGCGCTGGGACCATGCTCGGATCAAGCACGAGTTAGACCCGGATCAGTTTCGGAATGGTATCGGATTAAGCTCATGGTGCATTCAGATCATGTACTAGTCGTGCCTGGATTAGTCTCGGATTGAACGCAGGCTAGATCCGGATCAGGCTCAAATCGGGCTAGTATCGGACTTGTATTGTGTTCAGGCTTGGACTGGACTCGGATCAGCCTCCGGTTATTCTTGGATTGGGCCCGGATCAAAGAAGTGTTAGACACGGATCAGACTCGGATCGTGCTCAGATCGAATTAGAATCACGCCCTGGTCGCGCTGGGACATGCTCGGATCAAGCACGAATTAGAACCGGATCACTTCTGGAATGGTATCGGATCGAGCTCGCAGTGCATTCAGATCATACTCCAGTCGTGCCTGGATTAGGCTCGGATCGAGCGGAGGCTAGATCCGGATCAGGCTCTAATCGGGCTAGTATCGGACTCGAATTGTGTTCAGGCTTGGACTGGACTCGGATCAGCCTCCGGTTATTCTTGGATTGGGCCCGGATCAAAGAAGTGTTAGACTTGGATCGTAACGGATCGGGGTCGGGTCGGATTTACACCAGAAGCAGGTCGCGTACAGATTGATCTCGGCTCGATCACGGGTCAGATCGGATCAGGCTCGGGTTGGACTTGGAACATGCTCCGATCGAGCTTGCTTTGGGCTCGGATCAGGCTGGCATCGTGCCCGGATCAAATTAGAATCGGGCCCTGGTCGCGCTGGGACCATGCTCGGATCAAGCAAGAGTTAGACCCGGATCAGTTCCTGAATGGTATCGGATCG